CTCGGTCCTGGTGGGCCTCGTACTCGTCCCGGCTGGGGTAGATCTTGGAGATGAGGGCGTCGAAGTTGGGGTCCGGCCGGAGCGACCGCTTGGACACCAGCTTCTTCCGGCAGGTCGGGCACTCCTTGTTCCTGTGGTGGGGTGGGGAGGGCAGACGGAGGGTTTGGCCCCGCTGGAAGACACCCACCCACCCACACACACACCCTACTCGCTCCTGGGACCCGCGCGGTGGCCCTACCCGCTGCGCAGGGCCGTGACGATGCAGTCGGAGCAGAAGCGGTGCAGGCACTCCTTGGTGGTCATGGTGTGCTTGAGCATGTCCAGGCAGATGGGGCACATCAGTTCGCTGTGCAGGCTGCGGGGGGAGACGGCGATCTCCGTCCCGTCCATCACGGCCTCCTGCCGGGGAGACGCGGGCGGGGGGCACGTTGACACAGACAACTGGGGGGGGGTGTTTCCTCTCGGCTGCGCTACTGTAAGCCGGTCTCTATGGGGCGGCCCTTGGCCACTACCCCCACCGGCAAGGTGGCTCTCGGGTGCGACTCGCAGCCCCCCCCCAAAGGCCCTCCGTGGCTGGACGGTCTGGGGGTGCCACGTCGGTCTGGGAGAAGCCCCCCCGCCCACTTATATGACAATCTTTGGAGGAGGATGGGGGGCATCCTGGCGGGGGGGGGCTGACGGTGTTCCCAATTTTTGTGGAGCCGTTTGTGTGGCACTCGTGCCTTCCTCCCCCCTCTGCCTCCTCCTCCCCCCTCCCTCTCCAGTCCCTCACCTGGAGAGTCCAAAATCGACCCATTTGTGCGCCCCGCTTTAAGACCCCCTCATCCAGAAATGGGGGGGGGTTTCCAGTGAAAGCGACCGAGAGGAGGGGTGTCCCATGGCTGGATGGGGCCTTGACCCTCCCTGTCCTCCTCCTGCCAGCCTTGGGCCACTTGGGCCTTCCTCCCCCCTTCCTCCTCCTCCTCCTCCCCCTTCCCCCCCCAGCCCCTCACCTGGGGGGTCCGGTGAAGCTCGTACAGGCTCAGCTCCCAGGTCTTACTGGCCGTCTGTGCGTTGGCCGGGGCGGCCATGGCAGCCTTGAGGGGGGTGTCAGGAGAGAAGAGGGGGGGCTGAGCGGAGAGGGAAACCCTCCGGGTGCGTGTGCACACGCGTGTGCCTGTGCAGGCGTGTGCGCGCAGCTTCTGAGAAGGACCCTGCAAAGGAAGGAAGGGAGGAAGGAAGGCTCAAGAGTGGCTCAGCTGCCAAGGGGTGGCCCCAGAACGCAAGACCTGGAAGGGGGTCTCGGAGGTCATCTAGTCCATCCCCGCCAGCGGCTGCTTCGGGGTTGAAACAGAGCAATGGGGGTGGGGGGGGCGGGCAGAGGGCAATCTTGGCTTCGCAGCCAAGGCCAGATGCCATCAGAAGCCCATCCGCCCCAGCCGTACGGGCCGCGGAGGATGGGTCCAATCCCCTCTGGCCTTTGAACTCCAGGGACGGCGACCCCCATCAGGCGCCGCTGGCGGAGCGGCGTGGAGGAACCGGGGGGAGCAACCGGCTCTCTCGGCTCACCCCCCCCCC